CGCCGAGGCCGCACTTCCGGGCCGCGACTTGGGCGGAACCGAAGTCGGCAGCCGCTGCGGCGCTGGGAAGCGCTAGACGGGAGCACGTTTCCGGTGTTTCTATGGAGATCAGCCGCCGCCGCGAGGCCGTAGAGACGGAGGAACCAAAGTCGCGGACGCTCGGGTTCTCTGGGCCGCGGCACGCTTCCGGCGTCGCCCTGGAGACGGGGCGGAGGCGGGGCCTGCACGGTCTGTCTCGGGCGGGCGGTGGAGCGCAGCCTGGAAGCGTCGGGAGGCGGCCTGGCCGGAGCCCGCGCTCGGCCTGAACCCCCTGCGACCCCGGGAGGAGGCCGCCTGACCACACGCGTGCGGGCAGGGGTAGGGCTCGCGAGTGCGGTGGGGGAGCGGACCCCGCCCTGGCCTTGGCACCCACCTTCTGCCCCGCACCTGAGCCTGCGCCCCAGGTGGAAGGTGGACGTGGCTGATTGGACGCCCTTTACGGACCCCCTCCTGCCCCAGGCCCACCTGCCCCAGGGCGAGTCGTGACAAGTAAATAAATGAAGGCAGCGCCCCGCGGCCCGGAGCTCAGAAAAGAGAGGGAGAAAGATGAGTGGTGCCTCTGCAGGACGGCGGTGGGCAGCCAGACCCCAAGGACCCGAAGTCACAAGGGGCAGAGTCTGTGGGAACATCTAGGTCTACAAGGGCCTTGACGGAGCTGGCTTGGCTTTGTGCTCTGCTCATGGGGGCTGGAGGGAGGCAGGAGGGCCAGGACCTCAGCAGATCCCATGCCTCATGCAGCAGGCGTGGAGCCCAGCGTCAGGGTGCCTGACTTCTCAGCCTCCGTGTGGGGACAAGGTCAGAGTGCCTGCTTGCCACAGCTGTATTGTAAATGTATTGAAGGTCGTGGAGGGGAGGGGAATGTGCCAGGAAAGGAATCACTGTCCCCACCAGCAGCCTGTCCTGTGGCCCATGACCTGAAGAAGCTCATTAATACCCATGTCTAATGGCTTCATTGTCTGTGTTCAGAATGTAGGCCCCTCACAATGGCCTGCCTAGTCCACTGTGTCTGCTCCATTCAACCTCAACAGCCCCTCTTGACCCCTCTCTGGCCTCGCAGGCCCTTGCTGTGCCCACCTGAAGGCCAGCCTGTGCAGGTCCCTGTCACAGTGCTCAGCTGCCACCACCTCCCTCAGGGAACCTCCCTGACCTCCAGTTTCCCCCGTCCTCAGTCACAGGGCCTGTGAGGGCAGAGGTCATCTCTGTCCTTCATCTTGACAGACAGCTGCTGCCCCTACAACCTAAACAGGATTGGAGGTGCCAATAGCTTCTTCTCCCTGCTCCATACCTGATTCCACTAGATTCTAATGCATTGTAAGTCATCTCATGTTGTGTAGGGGGACAAAATTCTAAAAATGCCCCCCTCCAAGATTCCTTGCCCAAATCTCCAGGATTTGGCAAATATAATTAAGGTTACTAATCAGCTGACCTCACAATATGGAGATGATCCTGGGTTGTTTGGGTAGACCCAAGGCAATCAGCAAGGTCCTTAAAGGCAGAAGAGGAAAGCAGAGAGATTTGAATTAAAAAGACTCTGGGGCCTTTGAAGGTGGAAGGTGACAGGGAATGCCGGGGTGAATGCGGGGTCCAGAATCTGAGAAGAGCAGAGCCCTGGATGACAGCCAGCAAGAAAACAGGGGCCTCAGTCTTACAACCACACAGACCTGGATTCATTCTGCCAACAACCTGAATGAGCTGGGAAGCAGATTTTTCCCCAGAGCTTCCAGATGAGAGCTTAGTCCTGCCCACAACTTGATTGCAGCCTTTGTGAGACGTGGAGCTAGGCTGCTGCATGGGTTTCTGACCTACACCTAATAAATGGGTGTTGTTTTCAGCTACTGAGTTTGTGGTCATTTGTTAAGAAGCAACAGAGCCCTGGCTGGTGTGGTGCAGTTGGTTGGGCGTTGTCCCATGCACAGAGAAGTCCTGAGTTTGATTCCTGGTCAGGGCACATACCGGTGTTTTGGGCTGGATCCCCAGTAGGGGGCGTGCAGGAGGGTCCCCATTGATGTTTCATTCTCTCCCTCTCCCCCTCTCTCAGAAATAAATACTACAGCTGCCAGAGACTCAGGGCCTCCACCTGGTAAGTGTCTGATAAATGCCACTGATTTCATAGAATGAATATCTTCCCATTGCCTGTCTCATGCCAAATACTTCATTTCTGCCTTCCCAGCATTCAGCAGACACCATAGGGGGTCTCATTCCCCTACCCTACAAGGTCCTACATGTGAGGAGACTTGGGGGCAAGAGGGGAGCCAACTGTCCAGACATGGCTGGAACCACATCAAGGTAGGTGGAAAGGCATGTGTGAGGACTCTGAGGAGGGAGGGCATGGGACAGGAGGGAAAAACCCAAACCCTAACCCTCTCAGGCCTTGAGAAAACATGTTTTGCTTTTCTCTCCAAAGGCCTTTCTCACAGTAGTTATGGGGGCATTTTGGGGAACAGGTTTATGTTTGTTTTAATTTTTTTCAAACTATAAGAGAAAGTTTATTTAGAAAATCACAGAGGTTGCCCTGGCTGGCGTGGCTCAGTTGGTTAGAGTGTCATCCTGTGCACCGAAGGGTCTTGGGTTTGATTCCCAGGCAAGGCACATACCTAGGTTGTGGTTTCAATCCCCAGTTGGGGACATACAAGAGGCAACCAATCAATGTTTCTTTCTCACATCAATGTTTCTCTCCCTCTATCTACCTCTCTCCCTAGAATCAATGAGAATTTAAAAAGAAAAAGGAAAATCACAGAGGTAGAAATGAGTCATAGGAAAAATAGGCTTCAGGAAACAAGTTACAGAGGCAAAAACAAAAAGGGCCCTTTGAGCTTATGAGAAAGAGAGAGGGAAGAAAAATGCACCTGGCCAGGCCGGGCATGACTCAGCAGTTGAGCATCCACCTAGGATCTGGGAGATCGTGGTTCGATTCCCGGTCAGGGCACATGCCTGGGTTGTGGGCTCAATCCCTAGTCCAGGGCATGCAGGAGGCAGCTGATCAATGACTCTCTCATCATTGATGTTTCTGTCTCTCCCCCTCTCCCTTCCTCTCTGGAAATCAATAAAGATATATTTTAAAGAAGAAAAATGCACCTGGGGAAAAGGGGTGGGGATGAGACAGGCCAGTAAGCCAGGACAAATGAAATAGGGAAACTGAGACAGATAGCTGAACAAACAGAGCAATTTACAGCAGATACAGGTCATCTCCCTAGGATAACATCTAGGCCTCAGTTGTATTTCAGCTCCAGACCCAGAAAAGCAGCAAAACCAGGTGGGCAACACCAGGACCAGTTGCAATGACTAATGACCCCCTGCCCTTACACTGACCAATCAGTGAAGACAATCACCCTGAAGGAGGACACCTAGAAAACTGATGAATATTCTGTTGAAACCCTCCCCTGAGACCTCCCCTAAGATTCCCGCCTTCACCTTGGAGAAAGAGATAAAGCCTCAAGACAAAAGACCCAGCGCATGCTCTCCCTCTGGGGAGCAGTCCTCATTTCCTTTCCTCTTTTCTTCTCCCACAGTCATACATCTCTAAACCCTAAAGGACTCCACCAGGTTTGCAACCAGGGGAGCAATGGGCAGCAGCAGCTCGTCACAGGCTAACCCCTGAACCTGAGCCCAAGGCCCCCTTTTCTCTGACTTCCCAGAGAGCTAGGGCAGCCCAGGCTAGGCTCTCTTATTGCTTCTTCTATGCTGAGCCCCTTCTTGTTTCATGTTACCACCTTTAATGAATGTCCCCTCATAGTCATCTGGACTCGTGTTGTGAAATTTTTCCTGCGTGAAGTCAGGATCACAAGCTACCTGGCCCTAGGCAGACCCACCCACCAAAGGCTAGAGTCGTCAAGGCAGGGGGGGATGAGAAGGGACTGGGGACAAGGCTGACCATCAAGGGAAGAGCCTGGGAGGTCCCAAGGATCCCAGACACAGAAAAAGAGCATTAGAAATTGAGCTCCTGCCCTGCTGGGCGTGGTTTAGCGGTTGAGCGTCAATCTAGGATCCAGGAGATCTCGGTTCAATTCCTGGTCAGGGCACATGCCTGGGTTGCAGGCTTGATCCCCAGTCGGGGGCATGCAGGAGATAGCCAATCAATGACTCTGTCATCATTGATGTTTCTCTCTTTCTCTCTCTCTCTCCCTTCCTTTCTCTGAGGTTAATAAAGATAAAGAAAAAGAAATTGAGCTCCTGAATGGCTGGACCTCCTCAGTTGGTGGACTCAGGACCCCCATCCCTACACCACCCCAGGCCCCTGGGGTGCCAGTGGGACACCGTGCTGCTCTAGACCTCACTCTGTTGCAGGGCCATGTGGACTTTGCAGGGCTTAGGTCAGAATTCAGAAGGCTCAGCCCCAGCTCCCAGCTCCCAGCTCCCAGCTCCCAGCTCCCAGCTTAGTCTGGGTCCCCAACCTCCCTCCACCTTCCGTTGCTATGAGGCTGGCTTTCCAGTCATGGTCACCTCTGAAGCAGCCACTGTCCATGGGTATAGCCCAGCACTCAGGCCACGGTGTCTCCAAGCTCTATGGTAACGAATCTGGGCTGCACCTGGTGTGGGATGCAGATCCCAGACACATACCTCAGTGGGCCTGGAGCTTCCCTTGGCCCAGGGGTCAGACACTAAGCACATCCCCAGACAAAGGCATCCTGGTACCAGGATAGGGTTGACATGGAGAGTGGTCCCTGAACAGGCACCAGCAGTGGGGCATTTAGCCTTCCTGACTGAATTGACAGGAAATGAGGAGCCCTTTGGAGTGGGAGAGGGGCCGCGGCAGGATCCCATTCAGGCACCTGAAAGGCCTGTCTAGGCCCCAGTGGAGTCTACAGTGGTTTAGGAGCAAGAAAGGATTTAGCAAAAAAGAAACATCCAGAGAGGTGTCAGTGACTGCCAAGGAGGGAATTGGGTGGGGCTGCGATGAGGAGTATTTGCAGCACGGAGGCTTAATTTGCTTTCATATGTAAAATACAGACACCTTCCTATTAGCCTCCTAGACCAGCCTGAGGAAACTAGGTTGGAAGGAGACCTAAACTGAAAGGTGACAAGCACTCTGTAACCCAGGGTCCCCACGCCAGGGCCTTTGCCTTGATTATGAAAAGTGAAAAAGCCCAAGAAGCACAGAGAACAATGCAGCATACACACTCATCCCCAAACTAGTCATTTTTTTTCTAAATTTGTCTTTCTGTGTGTGTGTGTCATGTATTTAGTATACTAAAGACAAAGTTTAAGCAAAAAAACATTAAAAATTTTTATTTTATTTGTTGATTTTATTTTATTGATCTTATTTTTATTTTTAAAAAATATATCTTTATTGATTTCAGAGAGAAAGGAAGGGAGAGGGGGGAGAAAGAGAGAGAGAAACATCAATGATGAGAGAGTCATCAATTGGCTGTCTCCTGCAGGCCCCTGACTGGGGATCGAGCCTGCAACCTGGGCATGTGCCCTGACTGGGAATCGAACAGCGATCTCCTGGATCCTAGGTTGATGCTCCACCACTAAGCCACGCCGGCCAGGCAATTTATTGATTTTAGAGAGAGAGAGAGAGAGAGAGAGAGAGACATCAGTTTGGTGTTCCACTTATTTATGCATTCTTTGGTTGATTCTTGTATGTGTCCTGATCAAGGATGGAACCTGCAACCTTGGTATATCTGGAGGACACTCTAATCAGCTGAGCTACCCAGCTAGGGCCTAAAACATTTTTTTTTAAAGTAAAGCTTATAGGCAAAAGGAAAGCCTCTCAAGGTGGCATGCCTGGGCATTTTTGTTCCTTAAGCCTTCTAGTTCCTTCTGGGGTGTAAGAATCCACTGAAGCCCTAGCCAGTTTGGCTAAGTGGATAGAGCGTTGGCCTGTGGACTTGAAGGGTCCAGGGTTCTATTCTGGCCAAGGGCATGTACCTCGGTTGCAGGCTCCATCCCTGGTGCTTACAGGAAGCAACCAATTGATGTGTCTCTCTTACATTGATGTCTCTCTCGCTCTCGCTCTCTCTCTCTTCCATTTTCTCTGAAAAGCAATGGAAAAATATCCTTGGGTGAGGGTTAAATAAATAAAAAATCCACTGAAACCAGATTAAAATGTTCTGTTCTAATCCCTGTTGCTCAGTGGCTTCCCCTCTACTGCTTGCTCCTGGGCATCCTGGGGCTGGGCCCTGGGTGTAGGAGCAGATATGAGTGCCACACCTTCACTCTTTTTCAAAGCCTTTCCTGTCACTGGACACCAAGTTTCTCAAAAGATTCTCTCATTCCAAGTGTACATACAGTGTGGTCGTTTTCAGTAAATTTACCATGTTGTGACCCTTAGCACCCTCCTTTTTTTTGTTTTGTTTTGTT